TCAAATAAAAATAATTACTTAATTAAAAAGTAAAACGATTAAATAATTTATCAAAATAAGTAAAATAAATAAATTAATTAGAAAATTTTCAATTAAAAATAAGCTACATAACTACGTATGTGTAATAAAAAAAATTATACATCAAATTTCCCTCATATGCAGGTGGTCTCTATGCCTTAGCTGCCAGCACGCGACAAAACCAATATGCCAACAAATTTATGGAAATTGGTAAGGGTCTGACAAATACCTGCCACGAGAGCTACACAAGAACGCCAACCAAATTGGGACCAGAAGCTTTTCGGTAAGTTAACAATACTCTAACTAGAAATGGTGACGAATCTAACGTGGGCTAAATCTTTTTTTCTACAACAGCTTCAGCGACGCCGCCGAAGCGCGTGCCTTGAAATCACAAGAGAAATACTATATACTGCGACCGGAAACGATCGAGAGTTACTTTGTGTTGTGGCGTCTCACGCACGACCAAAAATACCGCGACTGGGGTTGGGAGGCTGTGCAAGCGCTCGAGACCTACTGCCGTACAATGCACGGCTATAGTGGCATCAAGAATGTGTATCAGGAGAATCCGCAGAAAGATGATGTGCAGCAGAGCTTCTTCTTGGCGGAAACACTTAAGGTTTGCAAACTTTTTTGTTTAATTATTGGCTTGTATTTAATTAATTATAATTTTGCGCTTTAGTACTTGTATCTGCTCTTTTCCGACGACTCGCTGCTGCCCCTGGACGAGTGGATATTCAACACGGAGGCGCATCCATTGCCCATACGTGGCGCGAATGCATTCTACCGCGCGGCACCACCTGCTCAAACGCAAGCAGATGAGAACCGTTAAAACTTGACAAGATAAATATTGCAAATATTGCACTGACGAAATGTTGAGTCTGCCGAGCGTCTTTGACAAAAATGTAGTTATTTGTAATTAGTGTTTTTATAATTTGTTTTTCTTTTGACAAATAGTTACTTTTATTATGCTTTTTAGACACACATTGACATGTAATTTAGCGTAATTATTTATAAAGAAGTTGGACATTTTACGTATTCAGATTTCTCAGCGATTTTTCAAATGAGTTTAATTTAATTTAATTTTTATTTTACTTTTTTTTGTTGTAAAAATATATATGCCTGTACATATGTATGTTTGTATATTGTACTTGTAAACTGACATTTGCTAATTTTCACCGCTTAATTTTGTACAGTTATATTATATAAGTTAAATGTAATAGTTATTATTGTAGCGTTTAATTATGTAACAAATTTTTACTAAGCAAAAAAATATTTTTCGAAATTCAAAATTGCATTTCCCACACACTGACGAGAAAAAATTCACCCATTTTAAAAAAAATTTAGTTAATAACACATGCATGTACCATATGTATAATTATTTTCACCAATCCAGACATTTTTTTCTCTCTACATTCTTGCATATTTGAACTATGAGAATGCCAATATAGAAACTAATGTTTGAAATGAAGAAAGCTAGTAACATCTGTATTTACGTTTTAACAGTTATTGTCAACGCATACAAAACAGTGCAGTTGTAAAGCAAATAAACTCGAAATTTAATATAAAATTAGTTAAAAACAAAAAATTTGGAAAGCTGTTGGACGCAAAAATTTTTTTTTGAAGTGTATTTTTATTTAGCGTCCTCTTAGTGCGTTAAAAATGATCTTTTTGTCAACAAAATACTTTATATTAATTAATTTTTTTCTAATTTTTTTTTTTTGATGTACAATATTTTTAGCATTAAGTGAACGAAAAAGATCTTTTCAACAAAATAATATACATTAATTAATTTTATATACATTTTTTTTCTCTAAAATTATCTTTTCTTGAAAACATTTTCGAATTTATCTCTTTATTTTGTGATACTTTGTCCGTTTTTAGCGAGATTTTTAATTTTATACTACGAAAAATTAAGCACCTAATACTATATTTAAATGGTTTAAGAAAAATATATTATTTCTTCTTAAATTATTTGGCAAATGCTATACATATTTTTTTTTTTAGAAAAAATTACATTTGTTGAAAAACAAAAAACCAAAATTTAACACCGTTATAAATAATTCTTTATTGCAGTAACTAAAGGCAATATGTTATATTTTTTCAGGTGTTGAAAAACGTAAACAAAAAATTTAAAAAAATTTTTTTAAGGAAAATCCTTTTTTAATAGAAAAATTGTTTAAAGCAATATTAAATGTTAAAATTTGTACAGGAAGAAAGTTAAAATTTCAAAACTTCATAGATAAATTGTGGTTAGTCATTGCCAAGTCGCATACCTCCCAATACTCAAATTTTGAAGAAAATATTATTCAAAATTTTTTATTTGAAAAAATGAATATTTTACAGCTGGTCGAAATTTGTGAAAATTTTTTTTAAACTTTTTTTAACTAATTTCAAAATGATTAATTGAAATTTTTTAGCTTTTTAAAGAAACAAAATTTACGGAAACTTATGAAAAAATAACTTTTAACTTTTTTTTACTAATTTCAAAATGGTTAATTGAGCTTTGTTTTAGCTTTTAAAAAAAAAAAAAAGAAAAATTTCGAAAACTTATGAAGAAATATTTTCAACTTTTTTAACTAATTTCAAATTGAATTTTATTATAATTTTAAAAACCGAAATTTTTTGAAAACTTATGAAAAAATATTTTTAACTTTTTTAACTAATTTCAAATATTTTTTTGCTGTTGTTTTTGTATCTCGAAAACAACACTTTTGAATATTTTTACACTGTAGCTCCAAATTGGAGTTAAAACAATATTCACTTACACTTTTTTCTTATACGATTCGACTAAATCTTCTCCTTTATTGGCGTCTACACCGTGGGCTAAATACTCTATATAAAAAACTCTCAATACAAAAAATAGCAGCTACAAAATTTCAAAACTTTTTTTTTTTGTATATGTTTTTAAGTTTCATTTTCCACTGTAAACTTAAACTGTAATAAATTATTACTAAACAACAACAATAAGCATAAGCCTACAAAGCAAGTACTTAAAATATTCTTACTGTTATTGGCAAGTTTTCTGAATTTAAAAAATTAATATGGTATTGGTAGAAAATGACAAAGAGTTTTGAAAAGCATAACATTTTGCAGGACCTCAAATCAAAATTTTCAGAAAATTATTATTATTTGTTTAAATTTAAAATAGCTAAACAATTATTTTAATTATATGTCAATTTTT